TGAACAAACTAAAGATTACAAAATTGAATAATAAATTCCAAATATAGAGGGGAATAAGACTAAGGGCCCCTTCTAGGGGTCCCTCCCTTCTACGCCTGAAGCGTCTCGGGGCATCACAAGGATGCCTCGGAGGCTGTTTTGTCTAGGGTTTAGGGTTTAGGGTTTAGGGTTTAGGGTTTAGGGTTTACGGTTTAGGGTTGAAGTTGGCCTCAAACCCCCCAAACACCAAACAGCAGCCGCGAAGCCCTACTTTTGAGTCCCAAAACCCTAAACCCCAAACCCTAAACCCTAAAGCCCCCACCCCCCCCCCCACTCCCAGGCAGTGAAGCTGCTGAAAATGCTTCCTGGGATGTCGCGCCAGGAGGTGGGACGCGAACTCAACAGACTGTGGGCCCCAAAATGGGGGGATTTTCAGAATCAGGGCTCAGGGTTTAGGGTTTAGGGTTCAGGGTTTAGGGTTCAGGAGGTTCCTTGTAGAGATCCTGCCTTAGGGTTTAGGCTTTCGAGCTCGTCTAGGGCATACCTCATGGGTTTCCCTATTACCCCCGTCTTTTCTACCCCCCCCCTCGGTTCCCCCTCCTTAAATTACCTTAGTTGGGCCAAATTCTCCCTAAATAGCCTGAATTATGGGGGGTAGCTAGGGGGGAGGGGGGTAGTCTAACCCTAAACCCCAAACCCCAAACCCCAAACCCCAAACCCCAAACCCCAAACCCCAAACCCCAAACCCCAAACCCCAAACCCCAAACCCCAAACCCCAAACCCTAAACCCCAAACCCCAAACCCTAAACCCTAAACCCCAAACCCTAAACGGGGGCACAGAGGGGGCTGGTAGGGGAACCCGTGAACAGTGGGCGCCTCGGTGGAGCCTGCCCAACAAAGAGCAGGCAACGTGACCAAGAGCGGGCACGAGGCTTTTCGGGTTTAGGGTTTAGGGTTTAGGGTTATTTAGGGTTTAGGGTTTAGGGTTTCGGGTTTAGGGTTTAGGGTTATTTAGGGTTTAGGGTTTAGGTTTTAGGGTTGAGGGTTTAGGGTTTAGGGTTTGGGGCACCCTACGCCAGGCACCATAAGCCCTGAACCATAAACTGCAATTACGGCTTAGGGTGTTGCAGGTCACTGATGTGGTTGTTTGGTGTTACACGTGCAGCGGCAGGTTTAAATTCCTAAGCACCCATGCCTTGCCCGAATCCCTAAGTCCTAAGCACCCATGCCTTGCCCGAATCCCTAAGCCCTGAAGACTCGAAAATAGCCAAACCCATGAACCACCTTCAGCTACATGGACGCCTAGACACTATCCGAAACCAAGAAAGGCCCTCGATCCTAAACCTTAAACCTTAGTCTCTAAACCCACTGTAAAGCCTACAGTGAGTCCAGACAACGTCCGAAGCTACAAACTACCCTAAACCCTAAGCCCTAAGCCCTAAGCCCTAAACCCTAAACCCCAAACCCGAGCAGGATGCTTCAAAGGTCCGGCTCGGGAGCCCGGCTATGTGTTTGACGGTCCTGCAAGTGAGAGTTCAGAGTTTAGGGTTTAGGGTTTAGGGAGAGTTCAGGGTTTAGGGCTAGGGGCTTCGGGCTTAGATAGAGCTCAGGGATCTTCCACCTCAAGCCCTGAGCCACGTGGGGCAAGCCCTCATTCCTGAACTACTTGGACTTTCCATGAACCCTAAACCCTAAACCCTAAACCCTAAACCCTAAACCCTAAACCCTAAACCCTAAACCCTAAACCCTAAACCCTAAACCCTAAACCCTAAACCCTAAACCCTAAACCCTAAACCCTAAACCCTAAACCTAAACGCTAAACGCTAAACGCTAAACCCTAAACCCTAAACCCTACACCCTAAACCCAAAACCCTAAACCCTAAACCCTAAACCCTAACCGCTTATCGCCCGGATGTGCCCGGTGGGGGGGGGGGGGGGGGGGGGGGCTGAGGGTGTTGGGTATCAGTGCAGACCCGCGGCTTCTTCGGGTTTGGGGCTTTAGGGTTTAGGGGGGTTAGGGTTTAGGGCTTAGTTTAGGGGCTTTAGGGTTCAGGGTTTGGTTTAGGGGGTTAGGGTTTGGGGTTTAGGGTTTAGGGCTTCGGGGCTTCTCGGCTTTAGGGCTTTCTAGGCGTTCGGGCTTGGAGGTATTCATGTCTTCAGGCTTTCGGGCTTCAAGGGGCTTGGTTGAGCCCTAGACCCTAAGTCCTTTCCCTGGCCACTAACCCCAAGCCCTACATTGCCCTAACCCCAAAACCACCCCCCAAGCCCCCAGTGTTCAGGGTTTAGGGTTTATAGGGTTTAGGGAGGGTTTATAGGAATAGGATTTTGGGTTTAAGGTTTAGGGTTCAGGGTTTACAGAGTCTAATGTTTATAGGAGTTTAGGGTTAAGGCTTTTTTCGATGAGCCCAGGATCGCGCGAGTCATTTCGAACCAGCTGAACACGGCGGCCAGATTGCATTTTGGAAATGAGTGGGGTTTCCCTAAACCCTAAACCCTAAACCCTAAACCCTAAACCCTAAACCCTAAACCCTAAACCCTAAACCCTAAACCCTAAACCCTAGTCCCTAAAGGGCTTTAGGATTTCCGGGTCAAGTTGCGGTTGTTGCAGATGTCCGGCACAGTGCTTTGGTTAGAGTCTTATTGTAAGGGATTTCAGAACTGGTGGACGAACTGCCACCACAAGTATGGGTCATTAACATGCGGCGGGAGAATTTTTGAGCCTTGCACCCTAAACCCTACACCCTACACCCTAAACCCTAAACCCTAAACCCTGAACCCTGAACCCTGAACCCTAAACCCTAAACCTTGAACCCTCAGCCCTTCTTGCTCAATCCCAGACCCCAAGCCTAGGGGGGGGAGAGGCCGGGAGCCCTAAACGTCGTACGCAGGCCAACAATGGCTCCAGGAGTTATTTTGGGCCTTGCTTCGGGTTTAGGGTTTAGGGTTGTGGGTTTGGGGTTTAGGGTTTAGGGTTTAGGGTTGCGGGTTTGGGGTATAGGGTTTAGGGTTTAGGGTTTAGGGTTTGGTCTCGTATGGGATCCATGAAGCTCCAACACATCAAGACCCCTAACACTCTAGACCCGAAACTCGAAAGTCCGGAGCCCCTTAAGGCCCCCTCAAGCAGCGAAACCCTAAACCCTAAACCCTAAACCCTAAACCCTAAACCCTAAACCCTAAACCCTAAACCCTAAACCCTAAACCCTAAACCCTAAACCCTAAACCCGAAACCCTAAACCCTAAACCCTAAACCCACAAGCAGCTCCCCTGAAAGCCCCCTCCTCAAAGGGGGGTTCGGGCAGCAGCAGCCCAGGTGCTTTCTACGAGAGTGGCCTTCTTGACTATTTGCGTGGCACGCTCAGCATGCTAGGAGTTTAGGGTTAAGGATTTAGGAGATTTAAGCAAACCCTAAACCCTACAACCCTGTAACCCTGCAACCCGACAACCCTGCAACCCTAAACCCTAAGCCCTTAGCCCTAAGCCCTAAGCCCTAAGCCCCAAGCCCTAAGCCCTAAACCAAGCCGTGAACCCCTAATCCTCAGACTTCCTAAACTGCACGAACAGCCAGTCCTCTGAGCACCCTTCCAGCATGGGCATGTCCCAAATAGGGGTGTAGGGAGGGTTTAGGGTTTAGGGTTTAGGGTTTAGGGTTTAGGGTTTAGGGTTTAGGGTTTAGGGTTTAGGGTTTAGGGTTTAGGGTTTAGGGTTAGGGTTTAGGGTTTAGGGTTTAGGGTTTAGGGTTTAGGGTTTAGGGTTTAGGGTTTAGGGTTTAGGGTTTATTGTTTAGGGTTTAGGGTTTAGGGTTTAGGGTTTGGGGTTTAGGGTTTAGGGTTTAGGGTTTAGGGTTTAGGGTTTAGGGTTTAGGGTTTAGGGTTTAGGGTTTAGGGTTTAGGGTTTAGGGTTTAGGGTTTAGGGTTTAGGGTTTAGGGTGTAGGGATACCTCTAGTATCCCCTCAGAAATAATATTTGTAGTTCCCTTCTAGAAACCCGGATACCTCTTGTATACCTCCCTCATGATACGCCCCTATACACTACAGGTTTGGAGGGCTCCTAAAGAAGGGTTCGAGCATTTTGGGGTATCTGAAGGGGGCCTCTTATTTGTGGAAACATACCCATCCTTCCCCGTCTGCACCGGGTTTGGGCTTTAGGGGTTACGGTTTAAGTTTAGGGGCCAAAATGATCAGATTAGTTTTTTTTTTGTGGGGCGGGGGGGGATTTTAGTATAGTCCTATCGGGACCATTAAGGGAATACTGTCGGTAATGATTCCGACCCCTATATGATGCTTGTGGCCTGTGGGTCTCGAGTGCTTTCAAGGGTTTTGTGAGGGTCGTTGAGCGGTTCCAAGGGTTTGGCGTTTCAGGGTTTAGCTGGGTGTTTGGAGGACTATATTTTTGAAATACTTTCTTTGGTTCTGGGTTCCTCTTATAGACAACTTATACCTACACAGTACATACCTTTTCTCCCAGGGTCTACTCCGAAGTATATAGGGTTAAGGGCTGGGGGGTAGAGCTCTCTCAGAGCCCCAACCACAGAAAGAGCGGAGCAGAGACGTGGTCTTTAACCCCAGCAGGCACCTGACGTGCGCGGGGGGGAGATTCTGAATCATGGGGCCCTTCGTTGGGTTTAGGGTTTAGGGCTTACGGCTTACGGCTTCGGGTTCTGAATTATGTTTTTCTCTTTTTTTTTTTTTGGGGGGGGGGTCTCTGTGATGATACATTCCTTTAGAGGTTTGGGAGTCCCGAGTGTTCAAAAAAATTCCGTAGCTATACGTTTTCAAGAGTTTGTGGGTTTATAGCACGATCCCCTTTGGATTAAGGTACCCCTCATAAACCCCCTTCCCCCCCCATTTATTCCACAAGCCCTCGCATCCCCGACTTTCAACCCCAAAAGCCTAAGCCCAATGCGCATATACAACCTAAGCTCAAAACCATCGCGACTCCATATATTTTTGGTTCCTTCCCTTTATTCATTGCCCAGAAGCCTCTAAGGAAACGCGAGCAGAACAATCCCTCGCACACTTTCGATGGGCTCTTCAGAGGGCGGGGAATTTGTTTAAGGGTTTAGGGGTTGAGACCCAAAAACCAAAACCCTAAACCCTCAACCCTCAACCCTGAACCCTAAACCCTAAATGCCGTCCACCGGCTCAGGTAGTGGTCGTCTTGCCCCTGTTCCAGATTTGGCAGTATCCGGAGATTGACGATTCCATGGGTGCCCAAGCTCAGCTTCTGGCTACGAGGTCTTGAACCTCGTTGCCCTGAAAGTTGTAGATGAAAGCCCTCATCCCACCCATAAGGCCTCTGTAAACCCTCGCAGCCCCGAACTCATATGAAGCAGGGTTTATATTACTGTTCTTGGTGAGTGTATATAGGGGTGTCCTTTTGGGGATACAAGACCACTGATGTTGTGTGCTGGCTTACCGTGCTTAGTACAAATCTAAGCTGTCTCACCTTGATATGATTCACAACCTCGAGTCCGCAGTACAAGAAATATAAACCCTACTTCATATCGCCCTCTTAGGCCAGAAGCCTTCTCAATGCTATCAGCTGCCGCTGCCTCCTTCACCCCCCCTTCCCCCCCCCCCCCTCCCCCCGGTTTAGGGTTTAGGGTTTAGGGTTTAGAGTTTAGGGTTTTGGTTTAAATTAAAGATGCTGAACGAAGGACCCCACACCTAACCCGAAGCCCTTTTGCCTATACTAGAGATGCCCGTTTCCCGAGCCATTCCTTCAAGAGCTGTCTTTTCCCCCTGAAACTAACAGCTCTTAATAGGGACTATCATAGGGGGGTACTAATATCCCTATTGTCATCCCTTAATAGGGATTATAATAGGGGTGGTACTATAATCCCCATTAGAAGCCCTATTGAGGCAATAGAATCCCTAGTAAGGAGCTGATACTACAAGGGGGAACATCCCCTTCAACACATTGCAAAGCCTTGGCCTCTCTCTCTCTCTCTGTGTGTGTGTGGGTGTGGGTGTGGGTGTGGGTGTGGGTGTGGGTGTGTGTGGGTGTGGGTGTGGGTGTGGGTGTGGGTGTGGGTGTGGGTGTGCGTGCGCGTGCGCGCGTGGCGTGTTCATTCTGAGGCCTCAAGCCTACTTGAGGGTTTTAGGGTTTAGGGTTCAGGGTTTAGGGTTTAGGGTTTAGGGAAATAGGGGGTACCTATTGGGGTCCTTATTATATGGGAATCCTACTATTTGGGGTTAGGGGTCCCTTATTATCCCAAACCCCTACTGGGAGGTTCGTCCACGGTACTTAAAACGGGTTTAGCTTAGAGTTTAGTGGCTGTTGTGTGGTTGGTTGGATCTGAGGATCTGGAGCCCGAAAGAACCTTAAACCACCGTCAGGCAACCTGAAAACTTCAACGCTCAATTCTAGGCCTTCAGCTCTAAACCCCAAACCCAAACCCTAAGCCCTAAGCCCTAAGCCCTAAGCCCTAAACCCTAAACCCTAAACCCTAAACCCTAGCCCTAAACCCTGAACCCTCAACCCTGAACCCTGCACACTGAACCTGCAAGTCCCTAAGCCCCAAACCCCAAAACCCTCCCGAGGCACGTGGGCGGAGCTCCTGAACCGGGACGCCATTCAGTACCGAGAGGTTGGAGGGTTGGGGGGCTTATTTCTGTGGCTGAAAATCGAGATAAGTTTATCGAGTTCTTAGATACTTGAGCCCTAAGCCCTAAGCCCTAAGCCCTAAGCCCTAAGCCCTAAACCCTAAACCCTAAACCCTAAACCCTAAACCCTAAACCCTAAACCCTAAACCCTAAACCCTAAACCCTAAACCCTAAACCGCATCTTAGACCCGAAGCCCTAAACGAGCTCACAGCCCGAGCAATAACTAGCAGCTCTATGAGCTCCCCTGCTTGCCTGACCCCATTCCACGATTGATCGAGCTCTGGCACATTGTGGGATAAGGGTTTAGGGTTTAGGGACTTCGGGCTGTCTTTAGGGGTTTCGGGTTTAAGGTTTGGGGTTTCGGGCATAGGGTTTAGGGTTTCGGGTTTGGGGTATAGGGCTGCCCGTAACCAAAGGGTTGAGGGCGGTATACGGGCCATCTTGCTGGCAGGCCTATATGGCAAACAACGCGACGGAGATGCAGGCGGCTGTCTGATGTGTGGCAGAACGAACTCTAAACCCTACAGGGACGGGGGGAGGGATTGCGGCTGATAGTCTTTGTAAGGCTTCGGGTTTCGGATGGAGGGTTTGGGGTTTAGGGCTTAGGCTGGTTAAAAGATTCGGGCTCTGGTTGATGCGCGGACAGCTTCGCCGGTCACGGGCTCTTGGACATTAGCTCCCCCAGGCCTTCAACACCCTGAACCCTAAACCCTACGAAAAGTCTATAAACCCTACCACCCTAAGCCCTAAACTTACCTGAACTTTATAATAGCCTTCACTCCGAAATCTACAAGCAAACTCTAAACCGCACCAGAACCCTAAGCCCTAATGGATGTATGTATGTATGTATGTCTGTATGTATGTATGTATGTATGCATGTATGCATGTATGTATGTATGTACGTATGTATGTATGTATGAATGGCGTGACTGCACCCTGCCACAAGTGTGGGTAACAGCCAGTCAAGGCGTCTGAAAATCTCGGACCCTGCCCGTGGCGCGAGCGACCTGGGCGACAGCGTCGTGCCAGGTTGCAACACGCAGGGCTTGGCGAGTCACAGCACTTTCTGCCCGGCTTAGGGTTTAGGGTTTAGGGTTTAGGGTTTAGAGTTTAGGGTTTAGGGTTTTAGGGTGGAGGCAGCTTCGGCTGCGGCCAAGCGGCCAAAACATGTTTGAAGGCCGCAGTGGCTTGACCAGCTGCGCTGTCAGCAGTCTCACTGAGAGTGCGCAGTTTTGCGGTAGGCCCGGTAGGCACTGCAGCAAGTGGTGGTTCCCATCCGGGATGGCGGCCATGCGCAGGAACCCGCTGCACAACGGAGCCTGCAGGAAGCAGGGGGTGAACAAGCGCCCAATAGGCTGCCGTGCATGGCGAGCGCTGAACGGAAACCGGTAACCGATGGTTTGTTGTCCGTGAAAACACACTGGCGCACCCAGCTGGGCAGCTGCGGTGGCCAACACGAGGAGAGCACAGCGCTCTGCAACAGCGGAGGACCTATCTAACCCAGGAGCCACCCCACTAAGCCCTACACTAGGTGCGCAAGCAACGCCCCAGCCGGCGTGCTGGAACCACCAGAGATCATGAGCCTCAGGAGAAGGCAAGGCGCTGCCATCAGTGGCAACCAGAAGAGCAGAGTCCTCAGGCACATCCGCGAGGTGCCACTCAGGGGCACTCAGCCCGGGAAGCAGGGGAACCAGAAAACGGTGCTCTGAAGAGGAGCAGGAAGTGCGAAGTGGCCGGCAACTTGAGGGTTTAGGGTTTAGGGTTTAGGGTTTGGGGTTTAGGATTTAGGGTTTTAGGGTTTAGGCAAGAATCAGGGATGGAGCCCACAGGATAGGGTTTTGGGGCTTAGAACTGGTTTAGCATGTGGGGCTTAGGGTGAACAATCCCCCAACACCTCACTCAAACACGTCACTGTCGCAAGAGCCTTAAAAGCCCTCAGCGCACTTACCCTGTCCATGAGCACCAAAGCCCGAACCGAGCACCCCAAGCCCAAACCCCTCAACCCAAACCCCACATCTCAAACCCTATACCCTAGTCTGTCAAGGGATTCAGACTCGTACCCCTAAGGTTGTACCCCTAAAGGTTCCCCTCAATACGCTCCTAATGTGGCCCTTATATTCCCTTAGGGATCCTGAAAAAGGGACCCCAAAACCCAAGGGTACAACCTTAAGGGTCCAAGGTAGAACCCCTAGAGTCTGTAAACCCTCAACCCTAATCCCTAAACCGTCAACCCTCAACCCTAATTAACCCCTAAACCCTCAACCCTCAGCCCTCAACCCTTAATTCCCAAATCCCAAGTAAACCTCGGAGCCAACGAAAGCCTCCGCCCCCTTGCAGTTGACGGCCGCCGCACTCCAAGCAGAGGTGGCAGCCATGGTAAGGTTTAGAGTTCCGGGCTTATTTAGGGTTTAGGGAATATAGGGCTTTGGGTTTAAGGTTTGGGTTTAGTGTTTAGGGAAGTTTAGGGTTTAGGGTTTAGTCTGGGTTTCAGGCCAACTAGGAGCCTGGGCTGTTTTGTGTTTTCCCTACTTCTGTTTCATAAACCATCTTATTGTCCAGGAGCAATTTCATCCCGGACCCGTTGGGGTATAGGCTAGAAGCTTCAGGGTTTATCTAAGGGTACCTTCATTTGTATGAGCCCTTAATTTGTATAGCAGGGTATGTAAGGGGTGTGTAAGGGGTCGCCTTTTAAAGGCCCATACCAAGGGCCCCTGAAACTACCTTTAGAGTCTAGGGTAGCCCCCCTGGGTTGCGGGCCAGGCTTGGATCCCATAGCAGTATGAGAATATATTTTTCTTGGAGCGCTTGTCCACGAATTGTTGGTGCTTGTTTGCGAATTGTTGGGTGCTTGTCCGCAAATTGTTGGTGCTTGTCCACGAATTGTTGGTGCTTGTCTGCGAATTGTTGGTGCTTGTCTGCGAATTGTTTGTGCTCGTCCACGAAATGTTGGTGCTTGTCCGCCAAATGTTGGTGCTTGACTGCGGAAAAATCATGCTCGACCACGAAGCCATTAGCCGCTAGATGTACGTAGGTCAGAGTTTAGGGTTTAGGGTTTAGGGTTTAAGGTTTAGGGTTTAGGGTCTAAGGCTTATTCCTAGGCCCTGAACCCCCAAACCCCCAAAGCTGAATTTTCGACCCTTGCAGCCTCCTTCCCTAGCCTTAGAGAAGGAGGTTTAACTCTCCCCATGTTACTCAAGAGAGTCATGCTACGGTTTAGGGCTTAGGGTTTAGGGTTTAGGGGGTTAGGTTCCCTTAACGTACTCCGAAGCTGGCCCGTACATTGCCCTAGAGGATCTTCAAAAAGGCCCCCCCCCCCCCCAACCCAAAGGTACAACCTTACAGGTCCAACGAAAAATCCCATGAATCACCATTCACGGGAAGATCTAAGGAACTTCGTCAGTTCCCTAGTATGCACTGCGAAGCGTATACATAGGGGGGATATAAAGGTACCTAGTTCCCTTTCTTCCCTACCTACGATGAAGCACCGGTGCATTTAGGGCTTTGCTCCTTAGGTGGGGCGGCTGGCCACCTCTTACGACACCTTTAAGTACGGCCGCGCACCCGGCGCGGACTGCATCCCTTCCTTCGGAGTTCGGGGGCGTGCCAGGTGTACAATAAATGCCCTCAACCCTCAACCCTAAACCCTAAACCCTAAACCCTACCCCCTAAACCCTAACCCTAAACCCTAAACCCTAAACCCTAAACCCTAAACCCTAAACCCTAAACCCTAAACCCCAAACTCCAAACCCCAAACCCTAAACCCTAAACCCTAAACCCTAAACCCTAAACCCTAAACCCTAAACCCTAAACCCTAAACCCCAAACCCCAAACCCCAAACCCCAAACCCCAAACCCAAGAAAGTTGGAACATGTTTTAAGGATGATTAGAGCTCGGATTCTCTTTTGTATCCCTTTGCGGGGTATGGGATGAGGATGTTCCAACTTTTTGGAGTTTACCGTAGGGCTTAGGGGGTGAAGGTATAGGGCTTAGGGCTGCTATACTTCTCGGCGGGCCGGTGGGATGATTTTTCGGACTTAGGTCTCAGGTCCCCCAGAGCCCGAAAATGCCCCAAGCCCAATACTTGTTCAGGGTGCAGGGCTTAGGGTTTGGGGTTTGGGGTTTAGGGTTTAGGGTTTAGGGTTTAGGGTTTAGGGTCTAGGGGTTAGGGTTTAGGGTTTAGGGTTTAGGGTTTAGGGTTTAGGGTTTAGAGTTTAAGGTTTCCAGTAGAACCTCAACCTTTAGGGTGTAGGGACGGCGCTCGGTCGGTTTTTTTGGACCCTTTGGTTCACCTGCACGCTTCCTGCAACCAAGTAACTTTCCTTTTTACCCTAAACCCTAAACCCTAAACCCTAAACCCTAAACCCTAAACCCTAAACCCTAAACCCTAAACCCTAAACCCTAAACCCTAAACCCTAAACCCTAAACCCTAGTGGGGGGAGGGGAGGGAGGACGGGGGGCTAGCTAGGGTGGTTTTTTAGGTAGGTCTTGAGGGTTTGGGGTCAGGGCTTGGGGTGGAAAAGCTCGAGCTAGCTGGGTATGACGCAGCCATGTGTCACCGCATAGCCTTGCCGAACCTCCCCCTTTGGTTTAGGGTTTAGGGTTTTAGAGGGTTTTAGAGGGTTTTAGAGGGTTTTAGAGGGTTTTAGAGGGTTTTAGAGGGTGTTAGAGGGTTTTAGAGGCTTTTAGAGGGTTTTAGATGGTTTTTGGGGTTTAGGGTTTTAGATGGTTTTAGGGTTTAGGGCTGGCCATTGCGTTTTGAGTCGGGGTCCCTGTTCAGAGACTGCAACCTTACAGTATGTGCCGTTGGGAATAACTACACCCTAACCCCTGAACCCTAAACCCTAAACCCTAAACCCCAAACCCCAAACCCCAAACCCTGAACCCTAAACCCTAAACCCTAAACCTTAAGCCCTAAACCCTAAACCCTAAACCCCACCTCAATCCCCAGGCCCTTTCCATGTCTGCTACGGAGATCTTATCCCCGGCCCTCAGCTCGGATTGGTTTTAGGGTTCAGGGGTTTAGGGTTTAGAATTTAGGGTTTAGGGTTTAGCATTTTGGGTTCAGGGCTTTAGGGGTTCAGGGTTTAGGGTTTTGAATCTTGCGTTCAGGGTTTAGGGTTTGGCCTTTGGTCTTTTTAGGAAGACCCTGCACGTGAATTCTGGGGCTTGCAGGGTTTAGGGTTCAGGGTTCAGGACCCTGAGCCCTCGTTTTAGGGTTTAGGGTTTAGGGGAACCCTGAACCCTCTGGGATCTAGGGCTAGGGCTTGGGTTTCTTTTTTGCCAGACCCCTCAAAGGAGCCAATTTGTAGAAGCCCCAAATAGTATCCTTTACTACTCGTGGGCCATTCTTAGGAAGCCTTAATGGGATCTACTTTTCTGGATCCTCCCGAAACCTTAGAGCGGTCTGAGCTTGAGGGTTTAGGGTTTAGGGTGTAGGGTTTAGGGTTTCGGGTTTAGGGTTTAAAGGGTTTAAGGCGCAGAAGTACATTACTTGAAGCAGGGCGGCTCCCTGGATCAACCCTGACGCCCAACCCCTCAACCTTGAGCCCCCCCGCCCCCTCCCCGTTTATAGGGTTTAGGGTTTTAGGGTGTAGGGTGTGGGGTGTGGGGTGTAGGGCGTAGGGCGTAGGATGTAGGGTGTAGTGGTCGTTCAGGGTGCAGAAGAGAGAGAGGGAGAGAGAGAGTCGGTCGGAGCAAGGAAATTCGAGTTTAGGGTATAGGGGGGTAGGCGTTTAGGGTTTAGGGTCTAGGGTCTAGGGTTCAGAGATGAGGGTTTAGGGCTTAGGTCTGCAATTGAGGGTTGGGCGGTTGAGGACTTCGAGGGCTTTAAGGGTGTTCCTGCTACCCCCCCCCCCCCCTTCTTCCGAAGAGGCTTTGGGGGTTTAGGGTTTAGGGGTTTAGGTTTAGGGTTCGGGGTTTAGGGGTTAGGGTTCCATGTTCCTTGTTTTTTTTTTTTTTTGGGGGGGGGGGGGGGGAGGGAGGGGATTCTGGAATAAGGCTTATCGTATTTGGGGGCATATTGTCCCTGAACCCTAAACCCTAAACCGCTCTTTGAGCAAAATTCTCTTTGAGGAACATCCGTTGTAGGGGCATAGACTCGAAAAGCTTCTGGCGGACGTCAAGGCTCTAGAGGATCTTAAAGGTGGGATCCCTAGACCCCAGGCCCTAGATCCAAGCCCTCGGTAGGGTTTAGGGTTTAGGGTTTAGGGTTTTGGGTTTTGGCTTTTGGCTTTTGGGTTTTGGGTTTTTGGGTTTTTGGGTTTTTGGGTTTTTGGGTTTTGGATGTAGGCTTGAGGGTTGAGGGGCCCTGAAATCCCTTTCAACCCATTGAGCCCTTTGAAGCACCTGGCATCCTCGAGCCCTCTCCGCGCAAGGTAGCAATGGATCCTTCGCATGCCGCTACGACATGCTGCTGCTTTGGTGGAATTGGGGGTGCAGCCTTCCCAGCACTTAAGTCTGCAGAGCCCTACACCCTAAAACCCTGCAGCCCTCAAGCCCTCAACCCTAAGCCCGAAACCCCATACCCTAAGTCTTCAAACCTCAAACCCGAAGCCCTAAACCCCCAAAGCCCCAAATCGGAAAACAGCATTCCTTGCATCTCTACCATACCACAGGTGCCTAGACCTCCGTCTCCCATAGTATTCGCCGAGTTGGTCAGTTTTGTAGCTTTTTGCGTGGGCCCTACTAGTAAAACGGGATTTAGGTTCCC